CTCCCCTATATAAAGCCAGTGCTTGGTTTGTCCCGTCTGGGCAGACAGTCTAAAGACTCACTGTTTCTGTAGATATAAAAGGCTCATTCTAAAGTCATATATTCCATTTCTGCCAATAAGTCCTCCTAAATATTACACACTGGACCTTTAATGTAATACTGATGAGTCTGTATGAACTACATAAGCACATGAGACCATCAGCGAGAAGATTGGCTTTTTCTATGTACTTATTCTTAATGCCTTCCACTGGTTGGATTCCCCTTGAAATCAATGAAACGGGTCCACAGGGGTCGGCAGAATCTACAAAAATAAATGAATGTTCCCTGTTGCTGCTCTGAAGGCAGATTCCTTTGTGTTTGGCTGTTAGAAAATAGCTTTTAATTCAGTGGTGATGAAGAAAAAGCTGTTCTGTAGTTTAAAAAAAGTGCTTTTATTGCAGAGTTCACACAGGGAATGATCCTGCCTACAGCCAACGGTGTGGCCAAGCATCAGTCCACTTCACAGTCCAAAGCCAAGCAGGATAAGACTCAGGTTTGTGCGCTAACATTTTCAGACAAAGCTCTGGCCCTGAATTATTTACTGTAACAGAAGCACCAGTAATGAACCAGCACCGTGTTTTCCTTGCGGCAGTGCAGCTGATCTTTCCTTTTGTTCTCTTATTTGAACAGATTTCCTCCTCGAGCAGCACAACTGCTCCAATCAACACTGGCGTCAAGATCCCCACCTGTAAATTCAGCATTAGAGAAACATTCCTCACCTCACCAGCGGATCTCTACAGGGTCTTCCTCAACCAGGAGGTGAGCTTCACCCGTTAATCCGCCGTATCTGACAGAATAATCCACATTTTAATGTTACAGGTACTCGGATTAGACCTCGTCTGACCATTATCAGTGTCGCCTGTCTGATTGAAGTGTCTTTTGTCCATCTGCAGATGGTCCAGGCGTTCACACACGCTCCAGCGACAGTGGACGGAGAGAGGGGCGGAAAGTTCCGTCTGCTAGAGGGAAATGTTTTTGGTGAATTCACAGAGCTGGTAAGACTGATGTTAAACCTTAAAACCATCAAATAATAGGGAATATATTCAAGTGTATATCAGCAGTGTGGAGTTTAATTCCTATTTTTATTCTAGAACATCTTTTATATGAAGTGAATACTTTCTCCTAACAAGGAATTCTCTCTCCACCAGATACCTGATGAGAAAATAGTCATGAAGTGGAGGTATAACAACTGGCCCTGTGGTATGTTCATTTATATATATTTTGTATTTCAAGAGCCATTTTCACACAAATGTTTGTAGCATTGACAGTTTACATTCATATGAATATAGAAATAGTTTGGATAAACAGTTACTGTAATGTTTAATGCCACTGATACAATAGTGGGAATAATAATGCAGGTACACTCTTTCAAAGAGCAATGAACCTTTTAATTCTTAAAGCAACATTATATTTATTAGGATTACATTACTTAT